TCGAAGATTACCGGGGGAAGGAAGAGAGGTCTGGGTGAAGATGAGGCGGAGGGAGGCTATCCTTTGGGAAGGGGAGTTGGGTGCGCTGGCTGGCTGGCTGGCTGGCTGTACTAATAGTGGCAAAAGTTTAAATTGTAGCGATGGGTGTTGGAGAGAAGGGAACAACAGCAATGGGAATGTTCTGGCAGGAGAGAGGGGGCTTTGGGGGGAAAGAAAGGGTCTGGAGCAACAGGTTTCAGGCATTACTGGAGAGAGGAGAGATCCCTTTGGGGAAAGAGAGACCAAAGAGGCCTGTGAGAAACTGGCTTGCGGAGGTGGGAGGTACTGGTCCAGTGGAGGTTGTAAGTGCTTTTAAAAGTTTAGGGAAGAAGTTCCAGCCGTGACACAGTCACACGCTAGGGTGGTGGAGCAAATGATCACCATCAGTCATGTGAGTTGAAGTCTCAAAATCTCACTTTAGCCGTGTAATCTTCCCTTTTCATTTACGGCATGTAGTGACCTATTCTGGAGAATTGTATGAAGGATTACAAAGATAACTTGTGTGTTAGAGACTCCTAAGTATATACTGGGGCATAGCATTTGATTAGATATGACCCCATTCCTCAGATACCCCTCAAAGGGCAAAAAATACCTTGTGAGAATTGAAAACAGTAAACAAAGAGAGGGGAACTGAACCTTTTTAGTGAAATTAGTAACAAAGGCCAGGTACCTCAAGAGTTGTGGATTGTTCCATTAGCAGCAGCATATTCCCGTTGGAACCCGCTGCTGATGGAAAGTGGGAGAAGGTAATCTTTGCTGATTGCTACCTCCCGCTTCAGCCTCCTACACCACTTCCTCCACTATTCAAGTGGTCTGCTGATTCTAGAAATCCTAGAACAAAAACCCAAACAGGGCTGCTTTTGTGGGATCCAGGCCAGTGTGTTGTAATAGGTGTCATAGGGCAGTGATAGGCAGAAGGCACATTTGGTTTACCAGCAGATATCTGCAGCAAGGATTTTTACCTATCATTTCTTTAACAAAATTTCCTCCCAATAACACAGCTATAAAGAAGGAAGCTTTGAGCATTAGGAACAGATTGTTATGTAAAAGGGCTTTGAATTCTATTTCTGTTTGAAAAAATTCTGGGCTCAAAATTCTTTAATTGGAAATGTACATCTTTTGCACAAGGCAGTAGGTAATTGATTTCTGAGTTCTGACTGAAAAGTTATAAAGGAAATTGAGCAATCTTAAAAGCAACAAGATTTTTTTTTCTTTTGCCTTTAATTTGGAGATCTCTGCGGTGGTTGAAGCCTGATATAATCTTAATTTTTTTTTCCATAGGAGGGGTGCTCATGTGAAGAGCAATCTGCATAATTAATGCAAATTATTCATAATCTAAGAGTTATCTGACCATCGGAAGTCACCTTCAGTAGAATGGTAAATACTTTAGAGTCATGATAGAGAATTTACGTTAATAAGTTCGACTGAAATTGTCCCAACTTTACTTAATATGTATCTACATTATAAATTTAAATACATGCCTTTGTGGCTTATGATTAGGTTTTATTGAGCATTTCATACATAGATTAACCAGGTATTCTTTCTTCATACATAATCTTCTTCTTTTTCTTCTTCTTAACAGAGAATAATGTAGCTTTTAACTGCTAGAGTATAAAAGGAACATAATACCTAAAGCTACATGTAAAACTAGACCAAGCTAGAGAAGCCTTTCCATCTTGCACTTTAAATCTCAGTAAGCTCATTTAAAGCACAGATTTTCTGTTATAAATGAGTGACACTACATAGAATGAAGTTGCTTCATTAGCTATTAAGAATTGGCAGTCTAGCCTGTGTACAGAAAATCATCTTAACTGGATGTAAAGTTGCTAAAATATTTTGTATTACAAATCATTTATATATTCTGTCCTCAGTTCCTTTTACTTTTTGCATAGCTACTTATAAACTCTTTACAAAAGAAATATATATTGTGCCATCAAAGCTTCTATGCAGCATTATGCAGTGTTCTTTCTTTCAAAGAAGTTTTCATTAGGGAGAATAGAAAAGCAGCAGTGTTTTAAATGTAGAAAGTTTGCATCTCTTGGACATAATGTTATCCTTTCAATGAATAAAAGGATCAAGAATGAAGTTACTAATTGTAGCTGTCATACCAATGATTCATAGATAGTTCTCTTCATGCTTTACTGAAAGCTTGTCATTTTTATTCCATAATATTTGTGAACCAGATGGTCTTATCCTATGTTACTTGATTGTCTTTAGGAAATTGTTACTTGATTGTTTTTAGGAAATTGTTACTTGATTGTTTTTAGGAAATTGAATCCCAATTTCCCATATATAAATGTAGCACTATCAGATTAACCATATGAAATAAACAGTGCTTCAGCTAATTTTCGATGGTTTAAATGTAAGAAATAACACTCCAACAATTTTAACTGTATAGATTATCCTGAACACAAAGCTGATCTTTTCTGTCAGTAGGATTGTTACATGCTAATATGTCTTTCATGTCAAAAATAAGGTTGGAGATGAAAAAACCCTGAAGTAAGAATTTCAGATAAAGACTTAAGCAGTATAGAAAGAATCAAAACTGTTGCTGTAATAGAGCCTCTGATACTACTCAATGAAAAATCAGAAAACACATTGAATCATATAATTCAGAGCCTTCATTATCTCTAGAGGACTGCTCAGGAAGTGAGAAACAAGATGCACTCATAACACAGAAAGACAGATATGATTTAATGCACGCAACAAAAATCTGGTGGGATGACTCCCATGATAGGAATACAGCAATTGAAGAATGTACTTTCTTCAAAAGAAACAAAAACAATAGAGAGTTGTTGTTGCCCTATATGTTAAAAGTGTCCACTCCTGCTAAAAAATCTAAGTGAATGAACTTTGCAATGGTGAAAAGAACATTAGAATTAAAATAAGTAGAATAATAAATAAAAGCAATATTTTTTGGCTTGTAGTATTGTCTGCCCAGCCAGGGAAAAAATCTGAATGATGCCTTCCAAAAGGAAATTTCTGTTCTCTCAAAGACTCATGAAATGGTAGTGATAGGTCAGTTGAATTCTCCATCTGTTGAGAAATAAACTGCCAAGTATGATCCTTCAGGAAATTCCTCCCTGGGTGACAAATTTCTTCTTCAGAGTGTGATGGAAGGCACAAGAGGGTCACCTAACCTTGACCTGATACTGATAAGTAGGAAAGACTTAGGGAAATGCTGGAATTTCAAGAGAAACTATATTTGAGTATAATCAAATGATTATCTTAAGAGGAAATGTTAGTAAAATGGAATAAAGGTGAGTAGGATTCCATGGAAGGAGAATTTAATGCAAAGGGAACTCAAGATGGGTGGGAGGAGGTACTTAAAAGGATAATTGTAAGCAATTCCAGTAAGGAGATACTAAAAACATAGTTGTAAACAATTCAGCAACGGTTATAGTAGATAGAAAGAGGGACAGCTCATCAAGGAGAAGCAGATGCAGGTAGCTCAGAACCATAGACAAAGTGTCCAAAAAATTAAAACTCAGAATGAGTTGGTTAGCCAAAGATGCTAAGAACTAAAAGGACTTATTTAGATGCATTCAAAATAATAATTAAAAAAGAATCAGCATAGCAGCTACTTAAGAAAGATGAAATGCTAAGAAAAGGAAAAGTTGTGCAACTCCTATTTTGGTTTAACCTTCAGATATATGCCTGAAATAGAAAGGAAATTGTGAAGTGAAGGATGAAGAGGCAAGTTTCAAGCTTGATAAAAAATATGGGCAGGAAATAAAGCCTTTATTTTGAATGAGTTTAAATCTCTAGGGCCAAATGAATTGTATTGAAGGAACCAACTGATTGGCCAAATCTTGATGTATTCATCTTTGAGAAATCCTGGAGAACAGGAGAAGTGCTGGATGATTGGAGGAAAGCAAGTGTTGTCCCTTAAAAAGAAAAAGAAAAAGAAAGAAAGACCTAGCAAACTTTAATTGATTAAGAATGCTTTAGGCATAATATGTTTTGATTTAAACAAAACATTTGACAGTGCTATTCTGACTAGCAAGTTAATAAAGTGTGGGCTGGATAGCCTGATGATTTAGTGGATACATAGTTAGGTAAAAAATCATTAAGGGTTCTTCATCAAATTGGAGAGAGATATCAAGGGGGTAAGATTTAGTCCTGTGTCTTCTACTATTCAGTGCTATTATTAATGGGTTGGATTGGGTGGTAGAGGGAATGCTTTTCAGATCTGAAGATGGGTGGGATTGTTAATGCCCTAGGCAGAAATAAATTTCAGAACGGCAATCTTGCTAAGTTAGAGAAATGGACTGAAAGTAATAAAATGAAATTGAACAGAAAAAAGTACCAAGTTATTTGCTTAAGAAACAAAAATAAAATGCACTGGTATAGGGTAGTGGATACCTAGTTTGCTAATAGTATTTGTGAAAAAGATCTTGCAGTAGTACTGTACAGTAGTTGACTGCAGTGTGATGTGTCTGTTAAACACACACATGCAATTTTAGGGTGCTTCAACAGAAATTTCGTTTCCAAATACAGTAGAGTCTCATTTAACCGACCTTCGCTTATCTGACATTCTGTCTTATCTGACGCCCCTAAAAAAACACAACAACACGCATAAATCGGCGACGAGAAAAGTGTGCCGCTTGTTTGCGAGCGGGAGTGTACTCTTTCTTGT